GAGAATAATCAAACGAATAATTTCAGAAATTATTCAGTGCAGGACATGGAGTTAAGTCTGCGGGACATTAATTTTTAGGATCAGGCCCGAAATTTAAATGAACATTCGAGTCGAAAACAGTCAACTACTGTGGAATAACCACGTAATGCTCATTTTATAAACAAGTGGTACTAGGACAAAGGCAAGGCAGTCTGGAATGGCTATTTCCGGCACAACGGGACGAGTGAGTTCCGTTACACGATTGGCGATCGTCTCTTTACCATTGTATATACTCGATCTAAACCAACAAGCCAACGAGCCCGTGCCTCAATGGTTATGGCGCTGGACTTCTAATCAATAGGTCGCGGGATCGAACTCCAGTGGTCGAGTATGGCTGGCTGACCACAGCTAATAAGCCAGAAATGGCCATTCCAGTCTCCCTTGTCTTTGTCGGCAGTGCTAATCTGCTTATACGTATACATGGCAACCCTTGTGTGTATGTAGGTGACGAGCGCCAAATTCAAATAATGACCCCTGTATCTCCTCCCCCTGCAGTTTACACTGCTAAGATAAACCCAAACGACTACAGCCGTGTCAACATGAGCGTCGCCCCCTATACACACTGTGAGTCGCAGCATAATACTCACTTCCGACGATTAAAACTGCTATGCTTTTAAAACGCCAGGATAATACACTTATAGCTCCCAAAATCACCTTTTCTTCTTATATATATTTTTGAAGAAAAGACGATCTCGGGAAGCTTAGTTTTACTGTCTTGACGTTTTAAAAGCAAACAAGCTAACAAGTAAAACTATGGTTCCCGAGATAGCCTTTTCTTCATGTCCAGCGACACGCATCTTCGCCTCTGTTAACAATATATATGTATTCACTCAGGAATAGGCGCACTCCGATCCATTGGCTTCCGAAGCAAACAAACTTCATATAGAGGTAGATTGAATTAGGGCGAAATAAGCCTGCAACAATAGTGTATCAGTCTACCCGCATTCTCTGTCGTCCCTCTTCGCTGCTATCATGTCTTGACCGACTTCAGCCTAGTTTTTGTTGCCTGTTCGTGACCTTTGCCACCCATACTGAGCTTGCTTGCTTCGTGAAGCCAATAGATCTGTGTGCGCCCTTTCCTGATTGAATAAATACCTGATCTGCAGCGGCAGAGAATGAGACGTGACGAAACAATGATGAACTTCCGTTCGATGAAGTGCTTATGACCCATCTGGTGAACCCAGTGGTAGACCAACTGCGCTAAGTGTGCCTGTGCGTATGTTTCTGTTTCTGGTCCCAGCTGCTGGTCAGGGTTATTATTGGCTGAATTAAAGCAAAATAAGCACGAAACAGTAGTGTATCAATCTACCGTATTCTATGTCATCCCTCCTCGCTGCTATATACATATTTATAATGGTAAGGGGACATGCACCGATCACGATGTCGGACACACGCTTCCTGCATTTAGTTTTCAGACTTAATCTCGAGTCCTTCCAACAGTCGCACAGCGGCTTATAGTACATATAGGCAGAATAATATTACCGAAGAAAACAAGGGAGACCATAACGACAATTTCTGACTTGTTAGTCGTCATAAACCGGCCATACCCAACCTCAGGTTTTGAAACCCCTGAGGCTCATTGGGCGGTTCCCTACCATTGCATATACCCGATCAAAGCCGGCAGGGCCAGAGGCCCGTGCCTCAATGGTTAAGGCATTGGACTTCTAACCAACAGGTCGCGGGATCGAGCCTCAGGGGTTGCAGGACCCGGAGTTAGTATGACTGGCTGATGACGACTAATAAGCCAGAAATGACCATTCCAGTCTCTCTTGTCTCTGTCGGTAATGATATTCTGCATATGCGTGTCATGTGGATTTTCCTCCGAAACTATTCACCTATCTTGTCTTTCAGAGTATGGCATCTGTATCTTACTCTTCCAATTTTGAGATAATCAGAGTAAGGAAACTATTGTTGATAGCTGGCTTACTATCTTCAACTCCCAAAGATTACATTAATATGAACCAGGTTTGCGTACTGAACGCCGTTCATTCGGAATATTAGTCAAACCGATGATTTACCAATCATCTGATAAACGGACGCGACTTCGCTCTCAAGTTATGTACTGTATTGGAGTTGTCCAATGCACCTGACTTGCCCTGTGTCAGAGTTGGCTCTGCTAAACGTGAACAGGGCGGATATTTACAAACTTGCCTGATATAACTGTCACGTCGTACATCATTTCATCCCAAAAAGTCATTTTCTGCACAAGTGAAGTGAGTTTTCTTTGTGGCTTCTTCCTTTGTTCTCTGACTCTTTCTTACAGAATCGAGCGAATTTCCTACGGTTGCGAGCTCTCTCCGAGGCTGGTGAATTCACTGCCACACTTCAGAGTGAGAGTGTTAATTGAGATGAATTATACCGCGAAGCACAATCGACTCTTTCCAACCCAGTATGCAGCGAGAGCAAGTTTTGAAAACTAAACTCCACCAAACTTCGTTCTGACGTCTTTGTCCCCTCCCAATCCCTTTAAATAACTGAACGCTGAATGACTAATGCTCAATTAGCCAGGCCCCCGCTTTCTCTCTGTAAATTGTATTCAGGCGATTGTCGGCCAGAGGTCACCCATCCCCATTTAGCTGTGTGGGTGCGGTGAAGTGCATGTATTGTGTGAACAAGCCCCTCACAATTCCAACTCCGTGTCTTCATTTGAACATCTGTGCTAATTTTCATTTTAGGTTCCAAGATTCATCTGATTTAAAGTACTGAACTTCAACCATTTCTAGAGTAAACATTGACAAAAGCACCCTCCGTGTAATTAGGCTTCTAAACTAAGATACGCAAAACCCTGATTTTTTTATCCGTGGGGTTAGTCACAAAGGTTGCAGGATAAAAGTCAACTGTTCGGTTATGTATATTGCCCTGCGCGTTAGATATAATAGCGCAGATCTAGGTAGCGTCGGCTTCGTTAAAGGAGAGTCCATGCCCTATAGGCTCTCTATTTGCAAAATACTTGTGTCCGGCAATGAAACTTTATTATCACTTCTACTACTACCACTACTACTACTACTACTACTACTACTACTACTACTATCTATTTCTTGTCCTCTACTATGATTACTGTGGCTATTGCTGTTGCTAATAAAACTACTGTCCCATATGCCATTAACTCCCCAGGTACTGCTAGTTCTGGCAGTATTAACCAAACAGCTTACAGATTTTCACTAAAGAAAATCCTGTAAGTTAAGTAAAATTTACTGTGACAGTTGGAAATGAAGACGCTATTGAAAACAAGCATGCACAGCAGAATTTGTTGGCCCCAATAAATTCTGTTGTGCATGCTTGTTTTCAATTCATACCGGGGAAAAAATGCTTTGAAGACGCTATTCACATGAAGACAGTCCGGCCCCAGGTTTCGGAACACTTAATATCATTCGTTTCTTCTGGACCAAGGTTAATAAGTAAAGGGAAGCAGGGGAGATAGGTTTCGCAGATCCAAAGGGTGGAGGGCGGAGACGAAACATGATGATTAGCATACCATTAGAGCGTTGGGAGGCAGAACGTTGAGCCATGACAGATTTAGCGCCCGTAAAACACGTTCCCGCGCTCAGTTTACTTGTGCATATTTATGGGACTGCTGCCTCTGTAGTCACTAATTGTGCTGCTGCAAGTACTTCCTGTATCAGCACAGCACTCGCTGTAGTACTCGCAGAGATATGTCGGTGTGCAGCAGGAGTCCATTATCCACCAGTATGTCTGGGGTTGAGCCTGAAAAGATCATTCTGTTGTCTTTTGCTATCCAGGTTGAAAGGAGATCTGTATTTCTCGTGCAAAGACGCCATGCGAGAAATCGAGTTCGAACGTCACAAGCCTACGGACACACCGGTATTTAGATTTGCTCTGATTATGCGGGTAATCAAACCATCACACAAGTATTGAGGATATCGGCTCAAGGAGATGTAACCTGGAATGGCTGTCCGCCCTATACTCAGATCGAAGGTTATTGGAAGGTGCTTGTGGTCCGATATATCCCAACAAAAGGTTTAAACAGCGTAGGGTGGTTAGTTGACCTAATTATATCACGAAAATTGCCATGGAGAAATGTAGAAGGGTATTTGGCGAGCTTTCGAGTGCTTCTGATAAATTCTTGACGCAAATGGTAATTTTCTCATGAACTAACGAGTTATATCTCACGAGCCCCTAGCCTTGAAGGCAGCAAGTAAAGCCGAGCAGTGAATAGTATAGAGATTCTGAACGTTTAGTAACCTGACAGCAGAGCGCGACAGCTAAGTGCGCCAGGAAAGCGGATTGTACAGGTGTGTTATTTTTCGTCATATTCAAACAAGCGATCCGGTCAAAGAAAACGGAACTAAATTGTCAAGGGTAAATTAGTCCGGTATCTCACCGCAGTACCCCTCTACTAGTCCGGAGAGCGACGTAATACGGCGCCGGAGAATATGCATAAGCCTAAAAAACTGCGTAATTAAATGATCGGGGAAGTGAACGTGACGGCCACTGCGAGTGATGTAAGCAGGCGGTATAGTCGAAGAGGTACGACTGCGTGCTATGGTGGAGGATGCTGTTGCAGTTGAATGCTTCAGACACGTAGGGAGAGGAAGTATGCGGGATGGAGGAATAGAGGGCAAAAGAGGGGAAAGAGGAGGGGGTGGGCAAGGTGAATGAGCAGGGGATAGTGAAGATGGAAGGACAGGGGTTGGGGGTCAGCACATTTCTGTCCTTGTGACAGGTCCGGGGGCTCCTCTGCAACAGCAGCCTTGACCCGATCAATACTGACCACGTCTTCCTTGTCACCGCGAAGAATCCGGAAAGTCTTAGTGTTGCATGCGGGCACGCGGAACGATCCTTCGTATGGTGATTCCAGCGGCTGGCGCACACGGTTAAACCGGACGCACACATGAGTGCAATTGTCCAAGTCTTTTTCGACATAAGACTCAGTCGTTGGCGTTCGAGGTGGAACCGGGGAAAGCGAGCGCATAAATTGTCGCAAACGGTGCACAAGATTGTCAGGAGTCTCGTCGGCCCCTCGAGAGGTCGGGGGGGGCCATCTCGCCTGGCAGTCGGAGGGTAGTGCCGAAGACCAATACAGCAGCGCCACAGTCCAGATCCGACTTCAGAGCTGCGCGGATGCCGAGGAGTGTAAGACGAAGGTTGTCTAACCAGTTTCCTGGGCTTTCTACGGCACGCAGGGTGGTCTTTAGCTGGCGATGGAAACGCTCAGCCATACCGTTGGCAGCTGGGTGGTAGGCTGTCGTCCGAATGCGTGTGCCGCTAAGAAAATTGAGTAGCGTTTGGAATAGTGCAGACTCAAACTAGGTACCATGATCAGTCGTAACCGTGGATGGGGCACCGAACATAGCGACCCAACGACTGACAAAGGCCTTCACGATTGTTTCAGTCTCTGCATTCGGCAAAGTAATGGCTTCAGCCAGCGGATGTACCGATCGACACAGGTAAGGAGTTGGGTGAAACCATTGGATGGTGGCAAGGAACCTACGACATCCAGGTACACATAACTGAATCGTGTGTCGGGGCTGTGGAAGGTGCCTAGTGGGGACTTGTTGTGACGTTGCACCTTGTTGCGCTGGCAATTCAGACACGATCGGGCCCAAGCTTTGACTTCCTTGTCCATGCCAGTCCAGACAAACCTTCCCGCGAGGAGCTTTTGAGAGGCTCGGATCCCAGGGTGAGAGAATCCATGCAGAGTTTGAAATACAGCTCGACGCATCGAGGCGGGCGCGAAAGGACGATAAAAAAGAGTCGAGACATCACAAAGTATGGTACCAGAGCCGGTGGTCAGAGGAACGTCTTTGAGTTGGAGACCACTAACGGACTCATCGCCAGGACAACCGACTCGCTGTTGCTCAGCCGCCATGGCACAAAGATCGATCCCGTGTGAGAGTTGGTGGAAAGACAGTGAGGGTCTGGACAGCATATCAGCCACCTCATTCTTCGAGCCATCAATGTGGCGGATTTCGGTTGTGAATTGGGAGATGCAGTCCAGGTGGGCGATTTCCTTCGGATTGTACTTGTCGGAGTGGGACCGAAGTGCAAAGTCAACGGTTTGTGGTCCGTGGAAACAGTGAAGTCGCAACCTTCAAGGAAATGCCGGAAATGCTTCACAGTCAGGTAAATGGCAAGTAGTTCACGGCCAAAGGTACTGTAGCATGTCTCAGTTGGTAAGAGCTCTTTGGAGAAAAAGGCAAGTGGTCGAATCGAACCAGCAAGGTGTTGTTGAAGGACTGCACCCACGGCTACGGTCGACGCATCTACCATCAGGGACATCTGAGCTTCGGGGGTGGGATGCGTGAGAAAAGTGGCGTCGGCAAGGGAATTCTTGATTCTCTCAAAAGCAGTCAGTGCTTCACCAGTCAGCTCGAGGAGATCTTTGGGACCAGAACGCATTGCCAATAGAAGCGAAATGACGATTCCCAGGAAGCAGTCTTGAAGAAGGAGACACGATTGCCGGAACACGAGTTTTATTAGCCTGACGTTTCCGATTCCTGCTCAGACCCATCATCAGAGACGAAAGCAGATGCGGGTGGTTCATGCACAAGGGGCTGCAGTATTCATAGGATGCAGTCGCCATTCTACCGCACACATATGAATATTCACAGCTCCCCCTTTCATTAGTGATCGTTGCACTTGGTGCTATGACTGTTTGATGGCCGACATTCGCGGCGTTAATTGCTGAAATTTCATCACGTGTGTTAGATGCTGGTGTGATGGTTGCCCGACCATCTGATCCACCGACCCTGGCGCTGGGGAAAGTGTTCACCTGTGCGCTTCCCGCGTATCGAATTACTCCGCCTAGGAGAAGTCTCAGCACCGAGTATGGAAGGAGAAGGTCATTGCACTCGTTAATGGACTGCGTGTCAGTAAACCATGACTAAAGCAGCTCCCGGCTCATGCGGTTGTCAACTCTTGTGAGAATTTCGACCTCGTCGAATTTGAATGTGTCGTCGGATCTCTTCGAATGAGCTGCAACTTGAGAGCTGGCGTCATTTATCCGCACCGCTGCAGTGTGTTCGGCCATTCGCGTTCGGAACTGTCTTCAGGTTTCTCCGATGTAGTTGCTTTGTCCGCAACTGCATCAAATCTGATAAACGACCCCAGACGTTTTTTTCCGTGTCAGCGGGTCCTTCGGTTTCATTACCTGACGTCTGATGGTTGCTCCCCCATCTGTGACCAACTCCAACCCCGTGTGCATGAACCACCTGTATCTGCATTTGTCTCTGATGATGGTTTGGAGCAAGAATCCGAAACGTCGGGCTAATAAAGTTCTTGATCCAGCGATCGTGTCTCCTTCTTCAAAACCAGAAAGCACGTTGGTGAGCGGCAGCATGAGGTCAGCGCAGTTCGGTAGGCACCGGCGGTAAAAATTGACCATGTCGTGGAATCGCTGCAACCGACGCTTGGGAGTTGGTGGAGGGAAATTACGAATTGCTTCAAACTTGGAGGGGGGACGCAAACCCTCAAAGTCGACATGATGGCCGAGGAACTCGAGCGAAGGCACATCTAACACGCACTTGGAGGGGTTGATGACAACGCCAAACATGTCAAGGCGGTCAAACACCAAAACATGATGCTCATTCCGGCTGGCCGCCAAATGGTCATCAGTGTAGGCGTACACAAAGGATAGGCTACGTAAGACATGGTCGATGAACCTCTGGAACGTTTGGGCGGCATTACGAAGACCGAATGGCATGCGCATGAACTCGAGGGGACCGAAGGGTGTGGTGAAGGCAGTTTTAGGGATGTTCTTAGGGGCGACTGGAATCTGATGAAAAGCCCGTAGCAGATCAATCTTCGAGAGAACCGCTTTGCCGAAAAGGGCTCTAGCAAAATCCTGAAGATGAGACACAGGAATGGTGGCGCTTTTGAGGGCACGATAGTCGCCACAAGGTCCCCAGTCGCATGATGTCGCCTTAGGCACCATGTGCATTGAGGATGCCCAAGGGCTCTCGGACGGTCGAATTATTCCCAGTTGCAGCATGTGTTCAAACTCCGCCTTCGCGGTCTGGAAACGCTCCGGTGCTAGTTTTCTCGGCCGAACAAACACGGGAGGACCTGAGGTGCGGAGATGGTGCACAAAATCATGTTGGACCTCACCGCTGCGAAACTGGGGTTTGCTTATATTGGGATGTCTAAGAAGCAGTTCTCGGAAGAAGCTAGAAATATTTGTATCCAGGGCAGATACGTTGGTGGGGGCAGTAAAGGGAGTTAGCCCACGAACAGACAGACCGGTTATGCGGTCGAGGAGACGGGCACGTCGGCAGTCAACAAGGAGATCGAACTCGGAAAGAAAGTCCGAGCCGAAAATCGCATGAGGAACATCAGCAATCACAAAGATCCAGGTGAACGACCGACAAAGGCTAATGTTCAGGGTGAGGGACAGACTGCCAAAGTGGGAATGTGGGAACAGTTGGCAGCTTGGAGGTGAAGACCAGGGCTGGGGAAGCGACGATCAGCTGGAGTTGGGGAACAACGCTGATTTGGACTCCAGTGTCCACAAGGAAACGTCTGCGAGTCGCGGTGTCGCAAACATACATACATAGAAGGTGCGACCAGAGCCGGAAGAGCCAGAAATAACGGTCGCGTCTTTTCTCTGGCTGATCGGTTTCCCTGTTTCAACTTAAAAGAAAATGGTGGGGAACAACGACGGGTCTTCTCGCCGAAATTAGTGTGATACCAACAAGTATCAGCATTCCGCGGTCGCGAACGAGAACGACGACGGCTGCGTGAGCGACTGGAAGTAAGGCGTGCAAGCTGTAGTTTAAGGGAGGCCATCTCAGCCGCCATAACTGACACCTGCTTCATTAACCGCTCATTCGCTGTCGATGAGGGTGTGTAGAGCTGGACAACGACAGATGACTGGAACCGCTGCACCTCTATCATTCGATCCGCTATCTCAGTCATTTGTGAGACTTGAGATCTTGAGAACTGGACGCCAGGATCGTTTGAACATCTAATAATAATAATAATGGTAATTTTTATTCAAGACCCGTGGGGGTTCTTTCATAGCGAGTGAGAATAACTTTTACATGAATTTTAGAACAGGTATACAGAATCTACACAATACTTTATTCGTGGTTGTTGGATAGGTAGTATGTTACGAAGAATGATGAGCGAGCAGTGAAAAAACTCGTAACATAAACAAAATTAGTACGACTGGATTGACACTATAGGTGAAAAAACTCGCTTCTGAATGTGTAAAAATGCGGAAAGGGCAGCCTGCATGTGGCAGTGTATAAGGGATTTAATGGAGGAGTAAGTAGGCGGGTCAGGCAGGACTGGCCTGCATGTGGTATTGAGTCAAAGGTTCGAAACGGGCATCATCAAGGCGGAATTCATATGCCGGATGAGGCCATTCATGACAAAGTGGCAAATAGAAAACCAGTCTCGAGGCAATAGGAACCCAGATGCGATCGGTTACAGTCAGCCCAGTCTAGCCGAGGAGGGGGCAAGGGAGATGCGACCAGACTACTAGTATAGAGCGAATACAGAAGGTTTCGCCAAGAACGTCGATAGAGCGCATTCTATGAGGGGCACGATGTATGAACTGAAAAATCGAAAAAATTAACACTTCTGATGAGGGATCCCAGGAAGCGATACTACGCACAAAAGAAGGAAGTATGAGCGGATACGGAAACCCGATGGCCCTTTCTCGGTGTCACAGAGAAAGCTGTCCAGGAAGGATGAGGAAAAGAAAAGTGTAATCGAGTGAGTATTCAGATAAAGAGGTAGCCATCTCTTAAAAGTGTGTAGATTATCTGAAGATCTCATATTGATTGGAAGGTTATTCTTGAGGAAACTATGCCTGGAAGCAAAAAAAGAAATTGCTGAGAGCGTTTTTCCGTTAACAAAAATGATGAGCGAGCAGTGAAAAAAATCCATTGTAGAATAAACAACATAATCGGATTTACTTTAAAAAATAAAAAAATGTCGTGCATGAATGAATAAAAATGCGGACAGGACCGGCCTGCATGTAGCAATGTTTAACGGAGTAGAGCCCGCCTGGACAATTACACGGAAGGTGGAAGTGTGAAATATGCTCTAATGTTCACCGCGGTAGCCGAAGACGTCCGATTAGCCGCTGGTGACACCCGCCACCATACCAGCGGACTCACGGACTATAAAAACTTCAAAAACCACACAAGTTTCTCCTATGTCATCACCTGTCATTGGAACCACGTCATTAATCCCCCAAGAAGCTGCTGGCGCGGAATCCCAATATGCCTTCGACCCTTCCGCAAACAGATGTCGATGTCATACTCAGACGTTCAAAATGAAGGAGAAGAAAGACAGTAGGGATTTGGCCATTCTCGGTACGAATTGCTTGTGACTATGGAGTATGTTAAAAACCTGCTTGTTTTTCAAATGTTGAACACGCATAACCCAGCGTATCCGCGTTAACAGTGGTCTCTTGTTATGTAATACTGGTAACTATTTGCTCCAATGCTTACGGGCCAAACTTCGTCAGTTGGTTGGTGCCGATACTCAAATCTAGGTTGTTTAAATGCTGAATGGCATATAAACGTGTATGCCAGACGCAAAAAAGAGGAGGACCGGGTGGTTGGTATGCACAGCACTAGCAGCAGACGTGTCATAACTGAACGAGTAGATGATCAGAGTTTACCGACACATGCTTATGTCACAAGGAAATGACTTGCTTCGAGAAGTGTCGTCGTAGTTGACAAGTGGAAGGTTTATGCAGCATCCAAAACGCTAAGTAACACCGGGTTCAGGGTAAGACATCTCAAGTACTTCGTGGATTCCACTACCGGCAGACAAACTGCAGAGGCCTATAACGAAACGTCCGAAACAGCGGCCTGCTTAAGGGAAATAGCCTATGGGCGCACTTTGAGGTCATCCATTACCGTTCGTGGTACGAGGCGGAATATAAGCGAGATGCCCTGCGTGTTGGGTTCGCCACTGCAGCATTCTGAAATCATGTACTCAGTAAATAGCCCTGACTAAACAACAATAAAAACGGTAAGTTTATTTATCGACGTACCGGTCTGTAGTAAGCCATCTCCATACCCCGTTCTCACACAGCCATCTTCCGACGTCTCCTTTAAATCACGGAAGTTAAACAGAGATGATGGGGTTCTGCCATAATGGATCGTAAAATCAATAGCGAGCTGTGACTGTTAGGTGGCTTGCATGCATCCCGTCTTAGTATTTGTGAATAAAAAACAAAACATTGGCTATTTCAGTCTCGATCGTTTGTCCAAAGAAATTAGTTCATATTACCCGTCGTCATGACAACAGAGATGGGAGAAAGGAGGTACAAGGAGGGAGACGTCAAGGTTAGTCCTTTAGATAACAGCTCTCCGCAAGAGCAAAAATTCTCCCAAAGGCACATGACTGCTGAGGCGACAGTCGAAATCGGTGGTGGCAGAGGAGTTGTATGGCTGTCCATAACACCAACTGACGTTGACGGGAGAATAGGGGACCCGTTTTCATCTACCCTACCCTACGAGCCGCTCATCTACTTGATCAAAGACTGGCAAGCCCTCAAGAGGTCATAATGCTTTGAATTTCAACGCAACTACAATGGACGGAGATAAGCTGGCCGTAGAAGAAGTGCCTAGTTGGTTTACCTAAAAACCAACGGACCTCATATTTTACTTTCTGGTGGCACACAATGCAGACACCAGCAAGATTTAGAGAGAACTAGAGTGCTAATTGCATGAACCTAGATCTCACGAAAGACTTTCCTAATATTGAGAAAGCGTATTAGGGTGCACTCCTCGTTAAGAGTGATCATACTATAATCTTAATGGATTATTCGTTCTATTCTTAGTGCCCAAACAGAACGGGAGGTCAGCAAAACATGCAACAGTCAGATTTCAACATTATGATGAATGAACTGATGTCCGTGAATTAGGGCAGTTGGACCACGATGAACCTATGGGAGGACTGCAGATTGCGTAAATCGACTTCACTAAACCTGATTCGGAGTTTTTATCCAGCGAGGGTACCAGAAATGACTGGCCGGTCTGCCGGATTAGTAAAAGACCGTAGCAGAGGGTCAAGGGAGAAAAGTGGAAAATGGAATAACTTCAGGTAGCCCAGCCCACGACGGCATCTCGGGAAATTTCGTCGCCAACGAAACACTGTGAAAGCACAGATCCATTGGGCAAAGGAAGACTACGAATCGTGGAATGTTCGGCAGACTGAGAAGAAGCCCAAAATTTTATTTAACTAAACCAAAAGTCGACTTAAATACAAAGACCAAATATCAGTACTTAGGGATGACAATGACGAAGAATTTGTTGGAAATTGCAAAAAAACCGAATGCCTTGGGTTAATTCTTTGCCTCTGTTGTACCCAGGAAACGGAGTTACGTATTCGCACCGTCAAAAGCCCTGTTTCAAACACTGGTCTAGTGCTTGGATCGACAACCTTCACAGAAGCTGCTATGGACAGGGAGCTACAGAATCTCAAAAAGTTAGGCCACCGTGTCCGGGAAATATACCAGCGAAGTTCTTAAACGAATTGATAAAAGAACTCTCTAGACGGCTGTTTCATATTTTCACTTCACCATTGAATTGAGGACACTGCCATTTGAATAATGGAAAACAGCAAATATAGTCCTGCATATCTAGGAGTAATAGGCAGTGACTTTGAAGACTCCATTGAGAACTGTTTATATAGTATTCAAGCTCAGATAGGCATGTTACTAAGAACACTGACGGTAAAGTATACATTTTAAATAACAATGCTATTAAAAGTGTGGGGCCGGAACCTGGACACCCTCACTTGTTGCAGATAATATTAAACAGGAAGTGATGGCGATTTGCGTTAGCTGCACGTGTATGCAAAACGTAGCAATGTCCGACATTTAAGTGTGGGCCTTGAACCAATGCGAATAATCATCGCTCTGGCAGTCTGACCTGCATGTGTTACACAGTAATGCAAAACTACAATTCAGAAGGCAAAAGTGAATTTTCTGGAGGAGAACCACTTACTCGCAAAGCTCCAGCACGGCTTCATGCAGAATCGTTCTTGCCTTTCCTGTTTGATACTCTTGACTGAACAATGGGCCCTTGCACTGGATGAGGAGTATGAAGTTGATGTCGGCTGCATTGATTTCAGGAGGCGTTTGACAGCGATCCACGCAAGCATCCGAAACTGTAATAAATGGCTGCCATCATGGATCGCAGGGTCTCTTACAGGGAAGTCGCGGTGCGTATGTGTTCGTGTCTCAATGTCAATCCCTACTTTTGTTTTAAGTCGCGTCCTCCAGGGTCCACTCCTAGAACCGTAACTCCTCCCAGTCTGCATCATCGATTATGTCGACAGCCTGGGTTGCAACACCGTCGTGTTAGCCGATGATGCCAATTCTGGATAGCCATCAGACCTTGTGTGGACAAGCACACAATTCAAGAGAGCCTGAGCCAACTTAACTTCGGTCTGTTCGGTGGTTGGATACATTTAAGTGTTGGTGAGTTTGTGGCCCTATGACTTCGTACCAATCGAGGAAGACGATTCTTTCCGATGCCGCCTTGGTAGGCAGTCCCTTTCATTTTATCGGAGGACAGAAGGACCTCGAAGCGCTAGTGAACTCCTCGCTTAGACCATCATTGCAGTGTTTAAAACGCGCAACAATGGTGCTATTCGCGCTGATACAAGGGTTCTTACGACAGTGGAAGGAAGGAGGAGGTGAATTACTTACAGCCCCGTTTCAAAGCCAACGGCTACCCGAAATACTTCATACGCAATCGCCTCAAAAAGCCTCATTCTGAACGGGGAGACGCTAACTCTCAGGTGGCGGCACATTCGACGGGACCCGG